TCATGGGGGAATGGGAAGAGTCTGCATGAATGGCAGGAACTCCCTTTTCTGCTCTATTTTTATCCATGAGATATTTACTTCTTAGGCAGAAGACAGAGAATTCCTTTTTGAATAAAGTGAATGAATATCACCTGGGAAGAAATTTCCATCTTGATATGGGGGGCAGGGGGAGTGTCTCACTTAAAGAATCTGATTCTTCTGTTGAGTCTCATCAGTTGGTAAAGGCTGTGCTTGCACACAAAGCTTTTTAGTGCCTTGTTCTTAACTGTTTGTTGGTGGCCAAGGATCACCAGATATTCCAGGAGAGTTTGCAACACAAAAGAGAAATCAAATATACAAATAGAAAAGAAGAAACCTTAGAAATTCAGATCATTTAGGGAATGGCTTCATTTTTCCCCCCTTCTTTCACTTAATGCTAGCCCTACCCCAGTTCTAATAAATGGATTTTTGAACTCTTTTTTTAATGACTGAATTATCCTCTTGTACCTCTTCTGGGGGTCCCTGTCTTGTTTTCCTATGCCCAAGACTGTGCTTTGCCAGCCCACCCAGCGCTCACTCCTTCCTGTTCTTATTCCCAGCACACACAGGTAATTTCTCCCAGTGTACTCAACTCCTTCCCCAGAAACTCAGCCCTGCAACATTGTCCTTGTTACTTGCCCACAGTCTTCTCTGACCTGCCCATCTGCTTGTGAACTTAGACTTCTCGTTGCTTTGCTCTACCCACCTGCTGTAATATTCAAATTTTGCTGGTCTTGTTGATGTCTACTAGCTACCTATATCATACCCTCTTGCCAATCTTCAACCTTTAGATACCAACTGATCTTCTCCTATTGCCTACAATTGCATCTGCTCCCCAAGAACTTAACCCACTTAGATGGATACTTGTTCTTTTTAATTCCTGGACCCTCTATGGCTGAGTCATCCTAAGGAATCATTAACTGGGTATTAAGTACCAAATGGCTCAAGCACTTAAAAGTCATCTACTACCTTCAGCTCAGGAAATAAGTTGGTCCAAAGTTGCCCATTAAAAGAACATAGCATTTTGGTTAAAGGATGAAAGAACCTCTTTATTCAGAATTCCCTTACTGGAAGTTGAATCCTGATTGCCTGGGTCACAGGTGACATAGATTAGCAGTGATAGAGAACTGCCCTTACTATCTGTCTCCACTAGTAAACCATGCTCCACTACCCCAGCTGGATGCTGACTGTAACCTCTGGGAGGTCTCTCTTCCCAGGATTCCACAAGTGAATTGCTGCAGCTCTGAATATCCTCTAAACAAAAAAGTTCTTTGGAGATGAGTTTTTAAACTTGAAAAATTTCAGAATGATTAAAAGAAAGACTGATGCATGAAACACTTCCAAGAGATATCTTCAAATAATAGTCTTTAATTTTTCTTTTTAGGTTCTGGAAGAAATAAAGGAGATAAAAAACATTAATTAAAAATTTTAACTTATCTTTCAGAAGTAAGCATTCTACTCAGTGAGCCATTAAGTGCCCATAATAAGAGAAATAATATTAAGGTGTAAATTGACATAAGGAATGATTCTAAATCCACCTACGGTTTTTCATTGTTCTTTCTTCAAAAGTCTTATTTAAGTGTAACTTATTTTCTCATAAAATAAAGTTCATATTTTAACTCCAGAACATTGCCTACTTAGATAAATATTGTAAATCCTTAAAAACTGGTCAAGTATTGTCTTTAGCAAAACACATTGTCATGATGCAAAACACAAGATCATAAATCAGAACTCTGATTTAAAAATTGTAATTTTAATCCACCAGTTGATTGTTTTAGTTATGGTTGTAGTTCCCTAATGCAGCTGGTGCCTGTTCATGGTATGGAGGTGATTTTCAGAGGGACATAATAACAAGGATTAATATTAAATAAATAACATGGAGAAAAGGTCATGTCTTTTTTAAACTCTTTTCAGTCCTCTTCTCAGTGGTAGCATTCTTTACAACTCTTTAACTTAGTGTCCCTTCTTGAATGAAGAAAGCAGGCCTCAGACAATGAGGCGTTCCTACATTCCAGCTAGAATTACAATCACATTGTTACGTTTTATTGTTTCTTTAAAAATAATTGCCTCTTATTTATGACAAATGATGTTGGCATTTAATTTGATTGTTTTATTCCAAGAATTATTAAGTTTACTGCAGTGTAGGTGGAACACAGATATAGTACCCATTGGGCATCTGGTATGTGAACAATAAAAACTTAGAAAACAATGGTTTCTGGGAAGTGCTATGTTTGAGTGTTTCTCAAGCTTGATTTCTTCACTGAATCAACCAAGTCAATTGGTCGTTTGATGTAAATAAACGTAATTGCTGGTAATTACAAATTTGCCATGTATTAATAAAATGCAACTGGTCTGAGACATTTAGATCTAATGAAGGTTTTAAAGAAGATAAAGTCTTTCAATTCCCCTGAGGTAAATAAACATCCACTGGTAGTTCCTTGTATCTTTAAACTTGAGGGAAGTCTCTGAAAATTGGTCTGTTGACATCAAGCTCACAAGGAATTTTGTGACAAGACTTTAAAAAAAATCGTAAACACCAAGAATATTTGTGTGTTTTGAAAACTCACTAAGTGAAAATATTAAAATCAAAATGTTTATAGAACTTCTGAAGCTTATCACAAAATACATACAAGATCCCCCCTGTACCTCAGATGCTTGGGAAACATTTGGTTTCTCAAACATATTTGCTTAACTATTTTTTTCTAATCCCCTACTCTTTTAAAAAAATATATATATTTCTTTATTGATTTCAGAGAGGAAGGGAGAAGGAGAGAGAGATGGAAACATCAATGATGATAGAGAACCATTGATCGGCTGCCTCCTGCACGCCCCCCACTGGGGATCGAGCCCGCACCCCAGGCATGTGCCCTCGGCCGGAATCGAACCTGGGACCCTTCAGTCCGCAGGCTGATGTTCTATCCACTGAGCCAAGTCGGCTAGGGCTAATCCCCTACTCTTTAAAACTAAAAATCCCTGAATAATATTGTCCATAAAGCTTCAATGAAAGAAAAACAACTGTTCTCCCCTGATTGTATCTATACATTACTAACAAACCATATTATAACTGGAACCTCTATAGTGGTGCCTGGACCACTGGCTCAGTGGAACAGAGCTACAGAAAAAAACAAGGCCTACCGGAGGAGCTCATAGGCTAGTGGGACAGAGAGAAGAAAGTAAGGCAACCACAAGATAAGACAGGATCTGACTGAAGACCTTAATTGCACAAATCAAAGTTATGGGGATTTAAATGAGGAAAACTTCTCAACAGTACGGGAATCGAAACAAATTCCTGGAAGAGATGGCATTTGAGATGGGCATTGAAGAGTAAGGAGAATTTAGACAGAATTGGTATTCTACATAGATCACCCTCAAACTTATATTGAGAATATGCTCTTTACCAAGAGCTAAGCGCACAAAGATTAATATAATAATGATAATACCAATAATAAATAATTGCCCACAATAAATTTGCTTGGTGTGTTATAGAAAAACATCTTGGTGGAATACATGGGTACAAACAAATTGTTACCAAATAATGTATTACTAGCACAATAGAACTCTTTAGAAACAATTATAGAGGAAGAAATTAGTTCTATCTGGGGAATTGAGAAAACATTTATGAGGGAAATTAGCTTTGACCTGGGCTTTGAATGATGACTGGAATTTTACTAGCTGGAAAAGATGAGAAATATATTTCAGGTAGTGAGCAAAACATATGACAAGGCATGAAGACATAAAAGAGCAAAATGTGTTTGTAAAGGGTGAGAACCTTCTATGTGGTTTCAGTGTGGGAGGAATGGGGAGGGTGGAAATGAGGATTAATAGAAAAACTGCCTGGGAAGATACATAGTGACTAATTTGTGAAAGGCAATGTATTCCATGCTATGGAATTTAAACTTTATCCTATAAAAAATTTGTTTTTAGGAGTATCACTTTGGTGACATGATGGAAGGGATACATGAGATATAGTGCCAGAGAGGTAAGGAAAATGCACCCTAAACAGAAAAAGTCTTGCATAGGAATATTGCCTAGCAGTAGGAAAATTTGGAGTGAATTGTAGAGAGTCTTGAGGCTAGATGAGAAGCTGACATTGAGTTCTGTGACAATAGAAAACCACCAATGTTGTACTTTACCAATCTGAAAAGGGTCTATGAAACAGATTGTCTTGGAGATACCCTAGGGCCTGAGGCACAGTTTGGAGTCTACAGTGACAGCTCAGGCAGGAGATGCATACACACCTCTAGTAGTCATTCCTCCATGAGTTCTTTCCCTGCCTTTCCTTCCTAACTAGATCCTGATTTGTTCCATCGTCCACCCTCCTCTTTCTAGCCAGTCTCCAGCAGAGGAAGCCCCATCCCCTTTGGAAAACACTAAGGGGGACAACTCTGCTTTTGAATTATGCCATTTCTAGCCAATGGGATGTGAAGGAAGTCCTCCAGGGGCCTTCTGGGAAATGCCTTTTGTTATTGAAAAAGGGAATCACAGGAAGAGATGATCTCTTCTTCTCCATGTGACACTTGGAACTACCATGCCACCATTTTGCTATGATAAGAAGAGCTCATCTGTGAACAAAGCAAATATCTATGTTTCCCGATTTTTTGATGACGTTATTGAACCACTGATTTAAACAAACCTGAAACTGCCTTCTCTTCAGACATCTTAAAAGATGAGCTGGTTTGGGAAAGAAGTTAATAAACCAGATTTTATACATTCATATTGAGTGTGAAGTGAAGATGTCTACAAATACAGTTTAGGGTTGGCATGCTGAGAAATGAAACCAAAGCCAAACACATGTTTTTGTTTGTTTGTTTGTTTGTTTTCTTGCTGTCAGCTTGATGGAATTCTTGTTATAAATGCTTGCTCCTTACTGCATTTTCTACTATTAAATATTTATGTCTTCATAACTATAATTAATACAATTTATATCAATAACAATAATGAATAACACAGTGTAACAAACAGATAATTTTTTATTTGGCAAATTTCATTAGTACTTTCACAGCATTAATGTTGGTGAAAGTATTCTGCTCTTACATTGATTCATAAAATGTGTCCATGTGCAGCAGGACAGAGAAGAAAGGCAGACGTGGGCTCAGATATCTGCTCCTCTAGTAATTTACCATTTGGCCTTGGCAAAGTACCTTATTCACCATGAACTTCAACTTGACTAAATTGTGAGTTTCATGAAACTTATTCAAAGGAGTACACCTGGTGAGCTCATTTGGGCCCTATTTGTGCCTTGTAACCAAGTTTTCTCACCTATACACTAGTTTCCAGTGGCCAAGTCCAGCAAGAACCCTGCTCTACTTTTGATGATCATGGCTGACAGGGTTTAGCATATTTTTACTACTCATCCATCTTGACAGTATCCTGGATAATCTGAACACTTGGATTCATTACTTTTTAATTTAGTGATCACATGTCCCTCTTTAGGGCATGGTCTACTTTGTCTTTTATTGTGTATGAGAAAGTTGCCTGATAATTATGGATGTCAGTTTTCCTTTCATATTTGGGAACGAAAGTGTTTCCAATTCACTTGAGAAACTCAAAATTTTGCTCTTGTGGCAATACATTTATTATATAAACTCTAAAATATATCAGACACATTTGGCCATTTGATCATTCACTTCTTTTTTTTTTTTATAACCACTCCCCCAGGGTAGGAAGGAAAAACATATTCAGTTTACTTTCCTCTTCCTGGGAGTCGCCCAGGAGAAAAATATATATAGTAGACACACACTGATGTGTAAAGAAGGGAAAACCTCAGAAGGGAAAACCTCAGTATATATTTCTCAACCTGTACTCCGTACTTTCTGGGTGAACTTCCTCTATTACACATACACTCAGAGTTTGAGCTTGAGATGAGTAAAGTAGAGGAAGATGAGACAGATATTCATTCAATTTATTTGAGTACATTCTGTCCACCTGTGTTCATCCTTCTATAAAAAAGCACCCATATAAAAACATTATAACTATTATATGAAAATAAATGCATATCTCATAAGCCTCCATTAGCATGAAGATATTCTGAGCTGAGTGGGATTCTTTACATTTTTTTAGCCAGGGTTCTATACTGAATATTTTGGAACAGTGCCTGGAAAATTACACAGAAATAAGTCTGCTAAAATAATTTATAGAAAATTTGTATTTATATAAAATCCTAACTTCTTCCTCTAGGCTACAAGGCCCTCCATGAGCAAGAATCTTTCTCAGGGGCCTAGCTCCCTCTACCACTCCGTCTCTTGGCCTTCTCTTCAGGCACACTGGCTTTCTGTCTTTCTTTTCTGACTCACCAAGCTGGGTCCCACCTCAGGTTCTCTGCAATTATTGTCCCCTTGCCTGAACCACTTTGCCCCCAGACTTTCACATGGCCAGCCCTGTCCTAAGTGTATTATCACCTCCTCGGGAAGCCTTACCTACCCACTCTGTCTAAAATAGTGCTGCTGGGTAGACATATTAGGAGAGACAAATGTGGGTCATATATGCGATTGTAAATTCTTTAGTAGCCACATTAAAATTTTTTCAAGAGGTGAAATTAATTTTAATAATATATCTATTTAACTCATTATATCTGAAATATCATCATTTCAATATGCAATCAGTATAAAGATATTCATGAAACATTTTGCATTCTTTTTCTCATACTAATCTTTGAAAATTGAGCACATCTCTTACAGGACATCTAAATTTGGACTAGCCACACTTAAATTGCTCAAGAGCCACATGTGACTAGTGACTACTCTATTGGACAGCACAGGCCTAAACTAACCCCCCACCTCCAGTCACTTGCTGTCAAATTGCCATGGTTTATCATGATAGTAATGCTTGATAGTGTTTGAAATGATACTGTTTGTTTATTTATTTGTATATTATCTCTCTCCCTCCATCCCCTATCTGCCTCTGTCTTGAAATGAGAAGTTTAAAAGACCAGGGGTTTCAATTTGTTTTGTTGTATCCCAAAGCTTAGTATATTGCCAATTTTCAGTAAATATTTGTTGAGAATTAAATGAATAAAAAAATCAATATGCTCTTAAGACAATGGACTTGTGTGTGGCTGTTGCTTTTGGAGTCTTCCCTATCAGGTAGGTAGAACAATAATAACTACCCATGTGCTGTGCCCCTCCCCCTTCTTCAACCATGTCCCATTGTAGCCGTGTTGCCTGTGTCCTACTGATTTTCTGAAATGGGTTGCCTCCTAAAGAGAAAGCACTTTCCAGTCTACCTTTAAAACTGCTTTCAACTTAGCATGCAACTCACTCTAAGCAGGAGAAAAAAGGGCAGCATCTGGACTTTCTCTCCTTTCCCTTACTAACCATTACAGGATTATCTCAGAAGGTGGTCAGGCTATAACCTGCACTTATTATACTTTTAGCCAATGGGAGGAAAAACAGGATCTGTGATTCTTGAAGGCTTTGGAAATTGCCCAGGTGGCCCAGTCTTGCCTGCCACTGAGGCTCTGTATGATAGCGGTCAAAGTTCCAGATTTGCCTGTGCTCGTTTCCTCCTCCATCTGCAAAAGGAAAATAAAAAGCATTGCTTATTTCCAGTATTAGACTATCGGGAAAATAACCACAGAGTCCCTTATGGCCAGTAATGAGAAGCTTTGTTGCTGACATACAAAGCAAGGGGCATTGACTCAGTACCTAAGATTCTGTCCTAAGTGCAGGTACCACCATAGAAACTGTCGGAGTCTTGGAGGGTAGGTGAGTAGGAAAATGGTAAAATGTAGCAGGGTTTGAAAAGAATTCTTACCCTTTCTACAGTTAGAGAGGTTTGTGGAAAGAGAACAGTGTCTGCAAGCTTGTTTGGCATTTAATTAGATTAGCATACAACTACTCCTAAGTGAAACAGAATGAAAACTGGCCTCATTTGGCCCATCCCTCCCTGCCTTCTCTCTTCTTGTCCTGGGTATCTTTGAAACTGTACTCCATAATAAACCTAGCTCTGGTTTACCTGCAAAACCTAAAAGAAGTGTTATCAAACTTGAGAATGTTGAGTTTTCAATGCAGAATCTGTTTATTTTTTTAAAAAAATTATTTTGCACCTACACCTACTATGTACAAAAAAATTTGAAATGCAAACACAAGTAAATAAGACCCTTGGAGGGGTTGCATTTTAGCAGATGACACACTCATTAAACAACAGTTTCTGTGATTAATTATTTAATTACATAGTAACGAGTGCCTTGGAGGAGAAATACCAGGTGGTGTGAGAAGATTTAGTGGAGTCCTATTTAATCTTCCCTTCGAAGGTGTCCTTTCAGCTAAATTTTCAAGGAGGGTTAGGGTTTAGTGGGTGAAGGAGGTTGGAGAGCTTTTTAGGCAGAGAGAGCAGCACGGATGTCAAATGTACTGAGGCAGGAGGAACCTGGCATAGTTAAGAGAATGAGCAATGGCCAGCGTGGCTAAGGCAGCACCCCAGCGGGCTCCCCCGTGAGAGGCTAAGGAGGACATCAAGACCCAGAGTTCAGAGTCTCTGCCATTCTCCTCAACAGAGCTGACTGTTACTGGGTTGAGTGTTCTTCTCTATGCATTTACCTGATACTTACATAGTTAGTGCCTAGCTGATCTGTGAAGTCCTCAAATGCTGTGGCTTTCCCATGTGCCATTAGCAGTAGACTTATGCCTTTATTCCTGCCCAGAAGATTCCTCTTCGGAGTCACCTGCTGCAATTACAGGCAGGAAGCACTAGGGGCGGATGGTATTCTCCTGCCTTTGCTTTGGTAGACCACAAATTGGTGAAAACGTATGGACATTAATTTTGACTTCAAATGTTGACTGAGGATTTAGCAAATAGGGCTACTATCAGAGTCTGAGGCCACTGTTCCCTAATCTCAACAGAGCATCACAAAAACAAAAGAACAAAACTCGTAGTGAGTTTATCTGGGATAATGTAATTCAATGTGAATTAAGCCAGAAAGCATAATTAATGTGTCTTAATAAAGTTGTGGCAGTCACATAATCATTAATTTTTTAAATGCTATTTGAGAGGACTTCTCAAAACCTAGGACTAGGCAGCAAGAAAAAATAATTTTTCAGCTCTTTCAAGACTGATCTATACTGGAATAAAAGTTGGAGGAGACCCTAAGAGAAATGTAGAAGGCCTTTACATATGCAATTTGATAGGCCAATGCAATTTGAGAGTTGATATGCTATTAATATAAAGATCATGCAACTTTCACTTGAATGAAGTTAGATGCAGTCTCCCCAGGTTTATGCTAAACTTCTGGCAGCTATGTTTCTAACACATGATATATAATGATACCTTTGGGGAAAACAAAAAAAATAGACAAAGCTACTCATTACTACAAATTGGTTTGGGTAGTGTTAACCTCACACTGAGCATGTCTTACTGGTTGCTGTAGATGGAAGTCTACTGCCAGCTACGAGTCAAACCAAATAAATAGCAGATGTTACCAATGGCAATCTGCTGATATTTAAAAATGGAGCAAGTGAATCAGCAAACTATTTAGGAAGGTAAGGCTGTGCCAAACATTCTGTAGTCAAAAGCCTTGTGTGGACAATGCGGTCTATGTGTCATCAAGGCCCCTCGGCATGATCATGGAAAAAAAATGGGAGCATAAGTGTAACCATGAACATAGACTGTTTATAAATACCATATTATGCAGATATAAAACATAATCTCAAAATAGTATTTAGAGCTAATCACTAGGGCATGACTCCCTGTTACTATTATCATTGTCAGTCATCATTTAAAAGCAAACGGTACTGTTTAAGGGAGGCATGATCTTTTCCCTCTGGAAGCACATTAATATAGAACACTAATATGCATGGTTGTAAGAAGTAAATATACAGGGAGCTAATACAGAAAAGCTTAACACAGGCACAATTAAAATAACAAAGGCTGGTCTGATTATGGAAAGTGTGCCAGGCACGGTGCCAGGCACTTCATAAACATTACTGTATTCATAATTCGAAGCAACCCTGTAGAGTTGGGTCTACTATTATCCCCATCTTACAACTTGGGAGAGTGGGGTAGTTTGCACAGCAAATAGCAGGGCTAGATGTGAAAACAGGTCTGTCTGACTCTATAGTGGACCTGTGTTGACATTGATCACCCAGCACCATCCCTTCTTCCTATTAGCAGCTCTATTTCATTTGGGGAATTTGCTTCTCCCTGTTGTGGATAGTCTTGGTAGGGCAGAGAATGCAGATATCTGTTCTTCCTCAGGGATGGCAAAGAGGTTCCAGTGGTAGCCTTTGGCCAGATGCTTTCCAATAGTAGCATGCCTAGGAAACCATGAAACCAGTCTTTGAACCTGGCCTGTTTGAGCCCAAAGCTTCATATATTCCTATGGGTAAATCTGCTCCAGTGCCTGATGGAAAAGCCAGGGTTCCTCCTCACCAGAACCCTTCAAGGTGGGCTGCATTGTCAACAAGTCCCAGATGAGAAAATGAAGACTAAGAGAAATTAAGTGTCTTGCCACAGTTCACATAGATAATAACTGAGTCAGTTTGTTATGAGAAGTCTCTGTCACTCTAAAGCCACCACTGCACTGAGTTACCTCCCTGGGAGGTTTATGGCATGTAGATTAAGTAAAAGTATAGTCACAGCATGTTTATAAAATGGTTATCATTCTCCAGTGCATTGCAGGCTTCCAAGAATGCAAAGCACTGTTACCAACCACCCGGATTTATTTTTAAGCCAAGAGAGCTCACCAGTAAGTAAATGTGTAATAAATATATGCTGAATCATTGGAGCCACGCTATTAAAATATTACTCCTCATCGAATGATATTTGGCAAAACACAGAATTCTGGAGTAGAAAGGGAACTTACAGGTGACTTAGTTCCCCCCGCCCCATTTTTAGAATCTCAGTGGGGAATCTAAGGGACAAATACAATGGAAGACTTTCTCCAAGGCTCAGAGTTTCTGAGTCACAAACTAGGAACTAGGGTGCCAGTCTCTAGATTCTCAGGGGATTGCTCCTTCCACAGAAATACATTTTCTTCCCTGGGTACTATTTAAACAGAAAGTACAGGCTAGCTTAAGAGAACATCAGTAGACTGATTAGATAATCAAGTTTCCTCAGGTTTTAGTTCCTTAAAAACCATTCTTATGCAAGGGCATCTGCCTGCTGAACATAGTCTACTTATGTGAAATCAGATGCATTTTAGGTTTGCTTAATTTGGAGCATGAATGCTAGATGGTGAAATAACAAAATTTTAGCAGACAAGGAGATAGTGTGATGGGTGGGTGGGTGCAGAAGAAATGCAGGCTGCCCACTCACCCCACCTCTCAACATTCTCTAAAACTGCAAGGTATTCCCCTCATGTTCAACTCACTAAGTGATCGTCCCCTCTTTTTCTCTCCTCCTGCTAAATAATCTTGAGATTTTGATTGACAGCTTGCTTCAGTCTTCCCACACAGTGTGTGCAGCTCCCACCTCTATCCCTAAAATGCACTTACTCAGCCCTTGTGTTCAATATATCTTATTTTTCATTGCTCACTCATGTTGAGGTAGTTTTGTCAGTTCCCAAAGGACTGTGCCTTTGTTATTTTCCTTGCCTAGCATCTAGCATGGATACAATGAAAAGCTGGGGGTGAAGGGAAAGTAGCAGGACAGGGGCCCATAAGACAGCCTAAGCTTCAATATTTAGTCTTTTCATTTTTAAAAAAGTGCAATACTGTTAAATAGATCAGTTGAAATAGAAGGAATGCATGTCATTTTCTTTCTCTCTAACATTCCCTCTAAATTGGGAGGCCCATGAACAGGAGGCCCATGAAATGCATCCTGTCACCCACTGCAGGATGGATGGGAACTTGGACTGACCAGGTATAGGCTCTGTGTGCTCTTTGGACCGTGACACGCATTCAGCAGTTGGATGGGGAATTCCCTGGATGAGAGCCAATGGTTATTTTTTTGCTGATGCTGTCAGCAACATGGATTATGGCAAGTGCCTATCTTTGCATTCTTCTCCTTCCTTGCCCATTTTTAAATTAATGTGTAATCCTTTGGCTATTCTGGCTCTTCCTTGACCCCTTTCCTCAACCACTACACAAGAGATATTGGCAGTAAGATGGCATTGGCATGCTACCTATATAGAATTGCCTGTGGCTTTTAAGCCAGACCAAGAGAAGCTTAGAATAGGAATTTTTGGATGATAACTTTTGTTCTGATGCTTCCCAAAGGCACTCACTAAAGACTAGAGACAGATGGTTTGCAACTTAGCACCAGGAGCAAAAGTTGTCTGGTTTTATGTTATGACCATTGAATTCTGAACTGGCTGTTGGAAATGATTTGTTCTAAGGGGTCTCCAGATGACCATGGAGAGGACTCACCTTCAAAGAAGAAGGCCTGGAGGAGCAGCTTCATGTTCCCAAGTTCTGCAGTGGGGGAGGGAGACATGCTTGTCAAGCCAGTGGACAATCTTACTAGCTTTGCATCCAGTTGCTTTCTTTCTGAATGCCAGAGGCGAAGGACCTGAGAGATGGTATTAACATGTTAAGGAACTTGTCCAAGTTCATATGGCCAGTAAGTAGCAAAGTTGGAGATGAATGTCACATTCCAACTGTACTCATTACTCCACTTCCATTCCACTTATTTAAAAAATAAATGTAAATTAGCTAACTCTATTCTTAGCATAAAAATACTTATCCTTTCATGGGAGTAGGTCTTATCTCTCCAATTAGATTATTGGCCCTTTAGCAGGTAGTAAGTCTAATATTGTATTCTCATCCTTGCAAATAGTAAGTACTCCATGAATAAATACTAATGTTACAGTAAGTGGCTTCAAGAATATGTTCTCAGTCCTGGCCACCTTACAACTTTTTTCTTTATTTTTACTTTACAATTACCAATCCAGTACCTGCTTATTGTAAAAAGATGTTGTATATGGGTTAATTGCCTCCTCATCTCAGCCCCATTCCATCTATCCAAAATAATCAATGTTGTTAGGTAGGTAGTCTTCCACACCTATTTTCATGCTCATACAAGCACATTCAAACATATGGGCAGATATACAGTATTCCTCTTATTTTTATAATGACTTTTTAAAAATTTATCTTTATTGTTGAATATATTACAGTTGTCCCCCTATTTTCCCCATTGACCCTTTTCACATGCCCGCCTCCCCAGGCCTTCACCACACTATTTTCTGTGTCTATGGGCTATGCATATATGCATGTAAGTTCCCCACTTTATCTCTCCCCATCCATCCCCCCCATATTTTAAAGCAAAAATAGCATTATCCTCTATACATTACTCTGCAACCTTGTTTTTTCATATACAGGTATGCCATAGATGTCTTCCCAAATCAGTAAGTATAAAGCTTACACATTCACTCTAAAAGCTGAATAATAGTCCCTCTAATGAGTGTATTATAATTTACTTGACCATTTTTATATTAATGTATATTCAGATTCCCACTGTTTTCTAAATAGCTTCCTATTTGATCAACACTCTGTATGGCTTCTTGTATATCCACTTCTGCTTTATAACTAAGAACAGACCATGTCTAAAATGATATTCACTCCTTGGGAAAGTGCACCCAACACAGGGGGAAGTGTGCTCTAAAGGCATTATTTATCCTGAAGCCATAAATATATGTCTCTATTGGTTAAATAAATCATAATATAGTGGAGTACTATGCTGTCATTAAACATGATGTAAAAGAGCATTGAATGACATGAAGAGTATGATCTCATTTTACTTAAAGGAAATATATAGCTTTCTATTTGTACATGCATAGAACCAGAAGAGACACCCTGAAATTTTAATAATGTCTCTACATGAAGTGATTAAGAGTAAATTTTTAAAAATTTTCTTCTCTTTGCTTATTTTTCCTCTCAAAAAGTTTCTAAAAGAGTAACAAGATTGGAAGGATTTTTTTTATGAATATTACATCTTAAATTATAGCAGTTGTTTTCTTTGAGCTAAAACTCTACAACATAATGCTTTAAAAGGAAGATGGGAAGGGTGAGATATGCTCCCCAAACCAAAGAACTAACAAGATTCATTACCAAAGGATCTGGAAAAATAGGCCAGGATTATTTTCCCTCCTTGAAAGTGTTGAGAACTGTGATTTACCTGGCTATTATGCTGACAAGTTCTAGTTGCAGAAAAATAGGTGTAATTATAACATTTCTTGACAATTGCAAAGTGGTTTTCCTTACAACACTGACAAGTTTTGTGTAGAACTATCTTATTTTGCTTTGAGCTCTCCCATTGGTAACATGGAGCAGCTGTACCTTGCATGAGCTTTCAGATAAGGGACAGGCAGCATGGGAACAAATTTTGCAGCAATTGGAGATTAACCACTTCTCAAACTGGATGCATACACTTTACTTTAAGTGGCTTTCCTGGGACCAGCCACCAGTTTGCTGTTTTGCTTCATGGTTCATAGTCTTCACTGCTTGTAAAAGTAGCTAAACCTTTAGTTGTTCCTTCTAGTTCCTGATCATCACCAGCTGTGAAGCATTATATTTTGGAACTTCGGGTTGGGTGTGAAGCGTCAGAGTAGCCCCAAGTGCTGACACTTCATTGGAAATCACAGGAAAGCAGTTAGAAAATGACTGGGTTCTTGCAGCTCTTGCTTGGGAGGCTTTGTGCAGTTGGTGGCTTGGGAAAAATCCATGTCTCTAGCACAATCCTGGCACAGGGAAGGTTCCCAGTAAAAATTTGTTAAGTGAACAAATTTGTAATGTAGATGTCCAGATACAGGACCACACCCTGAAGTCACAATTTCTCTCAAGCACCCCTCTCTCATTTGCCTCATGCAAATTAACTAAAATGTAACCATCTCTTCAGTTAATTCTTATGTAGTTCTGCTGAAAACAGGTCTTGTGTTTTTATTGACCTTTAGGAAAAATACCTACAAATTTTGTGTCCAGATTTCATTTCTTTAATTCTATGAACAAAACAAAAATGAATACACTAAAGTCAGTATAGCATATATGCAGTTAAACATTCTGCTAACAATATTTCTTGTAAAAAGGAGTACACACACACACACACACACACACACACACACACACGGCATTGACTGGCACCTATACATAAATAGCAAACCTCTGGAGTATGTAATAACCTGTCATTTTATTGGGAGATTTTTATAATGTCTGAATTCACTAAACTCTTTGTTCTCCTCTTCTACTTTCTCACTATTTTAAAGCAATTATTAAATAGAACTATACCTAGAGAAGGTAGTAAAAGAGGGCAAGTAGAAAGGACCTTATTATTAAACATCTATTGTGTAACAGGCATTTCTCCAGGCATTTTAAATATAATATTTCTTCTAATCTTCACAACCTTCTCGACAAGTAGATATGAGCATAATTTTATGCGTCAGGAGGCATATTTCGAGAGGGAAGAGACTTGCACACACTCGAACAACTAATAAATGACTGAGCTCACCCAGCCAGCATGGCTCAGTGGTTGAGCATCCACCTATGAACCAGGAGTCATGGTTTCATTCCTGAGTTGCGGGCTCGATCCCCAATAGGGGATGTGCAGGAGGCAGCCGATCAATGATTCTCTCTCATCATTGATGTTTCTCTCTATATATATCCCTCTCCCTTCCTTTCTGAAATCAGTTTTTAAAAAAAAGACTAAGTTGGACCAAGACCCAAGTCTTTGGGTTTTAAAAGCTTAAGACAACAGTGTAGAAATAGTCCCATCCTCTAGCAGTTCTCTTCAGATCATTGTCACTTGGGTAATAGTCATTTAACTCGTGGTGTCGTTCCTTCACCTACCCCTGTTTGACTCTAATGTCTAATTTTGAGCAAGTGACTCCGGAAGCTTGAGCAATAAAAGGACTGTGATGTCGCAGACTGCACAGGCTGACTCAACACTCGTCTGGAACAGCGTCCTTATTTAGTCCCCTTCCTCTTCTCAGTTTCAGGTCCCAGCCTGTGTCTATGCCCTTTGCACAGGGAACAGGTGGCCTTCCACGCTGCCACAGGATGACAGTCCACACACAATGTTTGTGGTGATTCGTCTCACGATGTACAGTACATTTTTTATTGCACCAGAGATCAGCGGGGACTTGAGTTTTGAACAAGGTGAAAGATCTCTCTGACAAGAGCTGGGCTCAATCTTGACACTTCTTTCAGCCTGGTTGTTTTTTTATTTGTGTTCCTAACAAATGTTCTAGATTTAAATAACTTGTTTATTTTTCAGTTAAACTTTACAATACTTAACATTGTTCCTATGGCACAAAAAGTAATTTTGATGAGGCAATGATAACAGAAGTACATTGGGCTATTCATGTTTGCAAATGATTTATGAATGTTAATTTGCCTACTTACCCTGGAAGCTAAGAAGATGACACTTACTGATATATGTATTTAGTGTCTGTAAAAAATACATATAGTCTTTCTGATATTTATGTTCATGGTTTTCAGGGTTCACGGACTCAAAAAGGGGAAATGGGATCCCTTTGCAGCGGTTCTCAACCTGTGGGTCGTGACCCCTTTAAATACATCCTGTATATCCGATATTTACATTACGATTCATAACAGTAGCAAAATTACAGTTATGAAGTAGCAACGAAAATAATTTTATGGTTGGGGGTCACCACAACATGAGGAACTGTATTAAAGTGTCACGGCATTAGGAAGGTTGAGAACCACTGCATGGTTCATCATTAACATCATCTTCATCCAGTTAGTCAAACAGTCTACCTCAGAGGCATGGATGGTGTAATCATATTTTTCCCTATTATGTCCATATATATATATACATATATATATATATATATGTATATATATATGTGTGTGTGTGTGTGTGTGTGTGTGTATGTTAAAAATTGATATTATGCTGTATATCTCACATTATTCACTTATATATTTCATAACTATTTCCCCCAAGTCAATAAATATTTTCCCAGCATGGGTACTATTCCTTTTTAGGATGTGACAGAACTTATTTAACTGATACCCTATTGTTAGAAATTCTATTTATTTCCAATTTGTCTTTGCTATGAAACATGTTTAAAATTATTTTTTGTGTGTGGGTATCTGTACATAGCCATTCTTTTTTTAAAAATATATTTTATTGATTTTTTTTACAGAGAGGAAGGGAGAGGGATAGAGAGTTAGAAACATCGATGAGAGAGAAACATTGATGAGAGAGAAACATCGATCAGCTGCCTCCTGCACACCCCCTACTGGGGATGTGCCCGCAACCAAGGTACATGCCCTTGACTGGAATCGAACCCTGGGATCCTTGAGTCTGCAGGCTGACGCTCTATCCACTGAGACAAACTGGCCAGGGCTACATAGCCATTCTTATAAATTTTTACACATATGAAATTGCTGAATAAATGGTACACGCTTTTGAGAGATTTTGATACATTCTGAAAAAGTGTGATTACGCAAGCTTTTATGTCCTCCACCAGTTTCACTTCCCTCTGTTTCTTTGCCATTTCTGTGGTGACCTTATCCCCCAGCACATGATTGGGGCTCTTTCAGAAGCTGGGACGTGTTCATCTTCACTCTGCTGAACGCCTACTTCTGTAACTTCCTCAAAATAAGCATTTGTGGAGTCAGAATGACTATGTGTCTTTTATTTTGCACACTAAATATCTGTATTGAAAGTTAGATGATCCGGCATGTGTCAAATTAATTAATTATAGTTCTTTGTGAAGCCCAGTACCACATCGCATAATTCTATCACATAATGTTGGACTTTCCTTCAGATAAAATTGATTAAACAGCATATAGAATTATATTTTGCATACATACTCAGGATTCATCAGTAATAATTTTAGACTCATTTCTTCACCTGAAAATACAGTGATCTTATATCCATCTATCAACTGGATGCATGTGCATCTAAATACAATACCAATTCATTTCTTTGTCCTGTCTCTTCTTTATTTCTGCCCGGATTAAAGGACTGCAGATGATATTTATACTGGAAATATAGTTAGGCAAGTGTACCAGCCACCAGGCTACTATAAACACATAGGTCTTTGGCTTCGTACTAATAAGTCCTCTCATTTGATGGGTACACAATGTCCTGAACAGCTATTATGATTAATTAACTTTTCCATGTTGTTGTAGGAAATTTTATTAGCTCTCAGAAAACTAGCTCCAACTAGCTTTTAGTCTGATCACATACAGAGAACAAGTCAAGTGAAAATGGAAAAAGCCAAGCAACTAATCCTTTAAGAGGCAATAATGATTTTTTAAAGGCATCTCAATCTAGTTAATAAATTGTTCCCTCTCTTTCTGAAAGGAATATTATTCTATATGGGGATTGTAAATATACACTTGAATTCTAACTTATACTATGTTTGCCGCCGTCCATTCATGTGTTGCAATCTCTGTACATAACCCTGCTTTGAGCTTTTTATGGAGGTCTGGCTTGGGAGTCTTTCACTCTTAGCCATACCCTTGTGTTAGAGCAGAACCTAACTACACAGGAACTGTTTTTTCACTCGTTAAAAACCTTGATGCCTAAGCAATGATGCTTGATGCTAGTGGACTGTGTTAAAATTTCATAATGATAAACACTTCAGTTTTTCAAGCACCTACTATGTGCTTTACATTTGCTGCTTAAGTCTCATGGTAGTCCTGCAAGCTATTTGACAGGGCTAAAGTGGCTAAGTCTCTTACTCACGATCAAAGATAGTCAGTGGCAGTGGGATATTCAAACCCAGGTCCCTCTAACTCCAGAGTTATGTCCTTTCCACTACAGGACAGTTCTGAATCTTTTCATGCATCTGTTTATGTGATTGGTATGCAAACTGCAGTGGAAGAAACCTCAGGTAAAGAAGGGTATGCTGAGCTCATCTCCCACAGCCAACTCCCATTCTGCTTCTGGAGACACGTCCTGGCCAGGAAATGTCAGCCTTTGATAGCACAACTGACTCTCCCCTTCTCAAACCAACCCTGAGGAAGGAGCAGAACGTAAATGTGGAGAAATGTTGCTTTCCATTCTATACAGGTAGCCTTTTCAGTATTCCTGAGATATAATGTATAGAAAACTGAGAAACTACAGGGGAATTAAAAACACTCGTAATGCTCGCATGCATGTGCCCTGTCGGCACACATGGAAAACACATTTGTCTTGTGGGGCACAGTTAATGGTAATAAGAACAATGAATAAAAATGGTCTGTTTAGATTCAGGCACTCTAAAATCTACCCGTGGTTTGTTAGGAATGTTGGAAATGGTGATGTGGCATTGTATGTTGAACAATGGCAAAAACACATGGGCGTTCAGAAGAATATTTCTTCAGCCACTGACTTTCTTAAATATTCTGGGCAGATTGCTCATTTTTATATATTTTTAAATAGTTTGATGAAACTTACTAAGATGATTTTTAAGCTAAATATTGAATGCCAGCCACAAGTTCTCTGTAACTCCTGGTGCTCAGTTACATTTCCCTAACTAGAGATACTTCAGACACAGCCTCTCTTAAGGAAGTCAGGATGGCTAAAATAGTCCAACTTTCCCCAAGATAATAGTTTCATTCTGTGCTACTTACAGGGCTTTCATTTTCAGGCAAAGCCCCCTTGAGATAGGCCAAATTATTGCACCCAATAGTTAGAGGAGAAAACTGAGCCCCAAAGGAGATTGATTAACTTGCCCAATAACATGGTAGGAAAATAGTGGAGTGAGGACTTGAACCCTGGTGGTTTGGTGGCGGCCTCTGGGGACTTAAAATGCCAGACTATACAATTCAGAGACAGCCAGGCTGCTAGTTGGGAAGTTAATTTTTCAATGAATGCTGCACTGTGTTCAAAGGACTCCAACCAGGGCTTTATAAGATCATCATAACCTTCAGTCACATGCTGGTAGCAAAATAGACCAGCGGGGAAAAAAGGAAGGAAACTGCTTAGGATTCAGGCCTGAGGACCTGTGGAACTCTGAAGGACCTATGGGAATTGAGAGGCACACATAGGGCAACATTTCCTGAGAAGAGCCAAGGGATAAGATGAAAAAAAAATCTCTGGATGGAAAATTACTTTAGACTTCATGAAAGGTTCGCATTGTTAGAAAGGATGACTGTTGTTTACCGTTCTGTCTTTGGAGTTCATGCCTCGGGTTTTCAATGATCCTTGACTTTGGCTTCTGGCATATGCAGAACCAAGCAGTCACTGCTTCTTACCCCCAGCATAGATCTTTCCCACATGCTGTGCTACCACATGTACTAACAGACACACCCACATGGAGTTCCAGCACTTTTCCCTTTAGAAGCAAGTAAGGTTTCACAATTCCTTGGCCTTGCTTAGTCTATCCCTGGGTGAGGCTGTGTGTTTCTCAAAGCAAAATGGCTTCTATCTTTGAGAAGTTCATCTGAAACAGGCTTGGCCACTTCATTTGTAGGCTAACCACAAAGACATAATTAGATGAGGTCTACCCAGCCAGTCACCCTGAGATACTTATGACATGTGCTTTCTCTAAGTCTGCCCATTTCCATTGTTTGGATCAAAGGGAAAGTAAAAGAAAAAGAGGTTGGTTATGTGGTGGGGTATTGCTGAGAGGTGACTCAGCATGGGTGTATTTTAGCACTGGGTAGCACACATAAAGTATTTGCAAAAAGAGAAAAAAAGGACAAAAAGAGTAGGATGTTGTGCTAGGAATAAGGTATAATCAACCCTTCCTATTTTGCTACTGCTTCTGACTATATATAAGCTAATTTAAGGATTTTCTGGGTTATGTATTGTGGTTGCTTTAATTCTGTTTTAATTTGAGATTTATTTGTTTCCGTCTGTGTTTATTTTGTTTTATTGTTTATTTCATAGGTTAGAAGAACCATCATGATATAGAAGATCTTTTAGAATAAGGGTTATGTGTTAAAAACAAGATAAAACTGAGAATCACTGATGTAGATCTTGGTTGAGTCATGTACCTTTTCCATTTGCAAAAGGTTTTGGGCCATATTAGTGATACCCAAGTATGGCTGCCCATCATATTCACCCGATGGGTGTTTTAAAATGAGATGCCTCAATGGGAGAAAAAGGGGGATATATGTAATACTTTCAACAATAACAATTTAAAAATAAAATGAGATGCATTCTATAAAGCATAGTGAAACTTTTTGGGGAGATGAAATTGTTCTGTATCTTAATTATGATGGTAGTTATATGACTGTATATGTTTGTCAAAACCTGAGAACTGTACACTAAAAAGGGTGAATTTTACTGTATATAAATTATCTTATTTTAAAATTTTATACAAATCATTTAAACCGTTTGAATATTACTATATTGAAAAAAAATGCTAGGGCTCTACCGGGAACCAACTATCTACTGAAGGGTATCTAGTCTCTTAACCATCTCTGTACTTGTGATTCTAGTGTGAACCGACTCAAACACTCTAAGTTGTTGTGATCCCAGGTCCAGGTGTTCATGTCCATGAAGAATAACCTGAGTGACAGAGATAGTGTGGGTGACTACAGCTACAATGTGTCTGGATAGTCCACTTAAAGCACATGTCATATGTGGCTAGGTTCTGAGGATAATACTAAGTGAGAGCACTCTTTATGATCAATGAGAAGAAAATGTGGAAGCTGCCAAAAACTGATCACATATCAGAAGCAAGTATAAAGATAGAAGATGTTGAACTTATGACTGCCTGTTAATAAAGGGCATTGCTTTTTTTCAGCATTAAAAAGAAACAATGCTGTAGATGAGTCTGACACCATTCACATGAAAGCATCCAGCAGAAACAGGCTCACTGATTTGAACTGTGTGGACTTTATGAGAGAAGACCATGCATCCTCGGGGCCTACAGATATTTTCAGGCCAGCATCGACCTCTGAGAGGATTCCACCCTAGCATTAAAACAGATATAGGAGACCCTCAGAATTAAAAATGTTTACTGACAGCATTCATAATACATTGGATTCTAGTAGGAAAATGGGATGTTGAAAATAGCTTTGTTTAAATTTCATGGAAGAATGTAATAGGTATGTTTTGGGGTGTGTCTTAGGAACACTCTCCACCCTTCTGAAGCTGAGGGTTTAGGTGACTGCATTCCTATAGTGTAGCCACCATCCCTAGCTTCAGTGATGGGACCCAGGCAGGTACCAAAGTCAGGTTGATTGGGAACACCACAATGGTTCTCTGGGGGAACAGGAATGCAAGGTCACAGAGGATGTGAGGTGCAGTTGTGCATGAGAATCCAAAGCCAGGAGCAAGCTACAGTTAGAGGGAAGCAGTAACTACAGTAGTGACAGCAATAGCACCAACTTAATAAGTAATAGTAATAACAGAAGCTAACACTTATGAAATGCGTATGTGTGCCAAGCATGGGCTAATCCCTTCAGGTGGCTCATATTTCTATCTTGATTATAGTACAAGGAAACCAAGACTTGGATGTTATCACTTTCCTAAGATACATAGCTGTTAAGTGACAGAGCTGGGAGGCAACCAGGTAAAGCACTTCTCAATCTAGTTTACAAAACCTCTACAAGTACTATTCTGTCTCGTAGGAATCCAAGGAGAGATCTGCAGTGAGGAGAATGGAAGGGATGTGAAAAACAAGCAGAGCCATGAGATGCAGTGACACGGGGAGAAAGGGTAGAGAAGTGACCACATTCCTGAGAACTCCGGGGTCCCAGCTCTAGTCTGCATGTGACCTTGCTGTGCTTAGGGGGAGTTCTAAATCTTAAACAACCCTCCCTCACCTTCTTCCTGCCTTTATGAAGATCTAGTTTCACAGGATCTCTATTCCTTGAAATCAAAGAACATTAAACTAGAATGAAGAAATATGCAAAACAAGGGTGAGGTTGAGGGAACATTTCTCATGTAGAGGTTAGGGCAGAGAGAATTATCCCAGCTCTCTCTGGTTGAATGCTATTTTTTTCAGCCTTCTCAGGTTGAGGAAGCTGAGCACCTGCTGCAGTTTATTAAGGAAATGTCTTATCAAGGGAGAGTCCACAAGAGGATGCTAAGCTGCTGAGTATGCTTGGAATTACTCAGCAATACACTAAGCTACATTAGAGCTGTTGAATCCAGTTTCTTACGATGTTCTCTTTGCGGACCTTTGTCCCATTTCCTATAATGGAATTACCTGTCCATTTTTCAAAGGTTTTACCCATGATTAGGTCCCTCACCCCACTCATCACCTTTCTTTGATGCAAGGCACCATGTATCATTTCTCCTTAAGAATCAAAAGTTCAAATCCCAAACAATGTGCTGGAGTCTGCGATATTCCTCTGTGAGGAAGCGTCCTATTGTGGAAACAAAATGAACTGGCAGGCTTCCTCAATCCCTTGGGTTTGCCAAGGAGGATCAGACCAAGGAATTCTCCAAGAGCCCAGGTACAGGCACAATCACTAGGAGAGAGCTTTTCATTTTGAAAGGCTCTGAGGGAGGTCAACAGGGCTTATGCAGAAGTGCCAGTGGGGGAGGATGCTCACGAAATGGCAAGCCGGCCCCTGTGCAAATTTCAGCGCTGTGGGCTCATGGGGTCAGTCTTTAGTTCTCAGTGTCTGGAGAGAAGCCTCTGTTTTTTTCAATTACACTGAAACACACCAGCAAGGGAAAAATCCACTCTGGCTCACCTGTTTGTTTATTCTGCTCTCTTGTGACTTCCCAAAGGGCTATCTTAATACTCTATGACTTTAGCTATTTGATCCCCTTTCCCTGTAATCTTACCTCAGTGTTCCTTCTGAATTGAGTCACTGGAGACTTCCTGTTCGAGGCTGAAAAATATTTAAGCAAGCAAGCAGCTCTCACGAGTTTAACAGGGCATCGGAGCTGTTGCTAGGCAGGGCATTTTAATACAAGAGCATCAGCCTGGGTTGACAGGTTGGCACAAAGGCACAGGTTACCTCACCTGTCCTCCTAGTTAATCTTGTTTTGTTAATGGCTGCAATTTCCCGCTGTGGAGACTCGGTGTTCTTGGCACCTCGACAGTGCCCTGAGGCTTGACTCAGAGGTGTATAAGAACTTGAGAACTCATTTGTTGCCAGAAGGGACGGCAGGCACTCCCAGACCAGCAGTGATCCCAGGTTCGCAGGAATGTGCCACTAGTGGACCTTGAAAGACCTGTTCCAAGAAAGCAGCCTGGGACAAAAGGGTGGGACTTCAGGAGATGCTTTTGGTCCTTAGAACATACTTCACATTCTTTATGGGATCCTGGCCTTTTACTTTCCCAAGGGAAGTGTATGTTTTCACATCTTTATGGTACCCCGGATGTGGCATCCTAGCTAAAGCATGATGACATCCTTGTCCATCTGAAAGAGCTGTCTCTGTAACAGGGATTTGCTTCATAAAACACAGCACACCTAGTCTAAGCAGAGCATTAAGTGAGAGGGTTGGAGAGCTAGATTTAGGGAACCCCTCAATCATATGTGTAGAGCAGCCCCCCATTTCTCCAAAGGGCATTTATTAATTTCCCCGAAGCCTGCGTGGGTAACCTATATCTTTGAAAGTGGTGGGCCTCATCTGGCAATGCCACAGTGCCTAGCAGCTTGGGGATTTGCCATGATCTCTTTGTAGAGTGGGTCTATCAAGCACAGAAAGAATCTGTTATTATTATTCTTGGCTTCAGTTATGATCCACAAAGTACCTAGGAGAAAACTCACTAATAGACTTTCATTTTCTGATTTAATGGGGGAAAATAAGGTTTGAAGCTTATTTTGAATTATGTTGAAAAAGTTAGGTCATTTTTAAAACATTTGAAAGGAGATTCTATTAGACCAAAAAAAGAGGAGCTAAGAAAGGCAGACTTGTTTTTTATTAACTAGCTGAAGGCTTTATTCCTTGAGAGGTGGGTCAGAATTCCAGTTCTGTCTCTTTCCAGCTCTGTCTGAGGTTGGGAGAGTAATGACTCAAGCTCAGAAAAGCTCCTTCACGGGATTGGTGAGCAGTCCACATGAGAACACATTAGTAAACTGGCCTGCCCAGCCTGACACACAGTAGGCCTAAACAGGACATATGGATGCCTGTCTAGTTTTTTTGAGCTGGAAGTTTTTAGCATTCTTCCAAAGGAGGCAGCGCAGAATCAGTTTCTGGATTTCCTTTCCATAAGGGCTATTTCAAATCATAAGAGAATGAGACAGGGTCAAAAAAGGACCTTGCAATCCTTCACATTAAGAATACTTGAAATAAATTCAACATAATAAAACCTTATTTCACTTATTTTGCCCATTATGGGCTTTCCTATCAAAGCTACATTAACTACATCAGGATAAAGGCACATACTCAAAGTCCTGGAATTTGTTGTGCCCCAAAACCTTTTTGATGATGGATTTTGTGGGAAGCCTGCATGGATGACTGTGATCATGGACTCATGAAGTCACTGAACAAGAATCATGGTCATTCTGGGCCACTCCCAAGTTGAGGGAGGCATTACTTCTTTCACATTGGGGGTAAGAGCCATTTGACTAGAATACAAGCAATTAATATACTCACAAATGTGGAAATGTATACTTACATTAAAATATTTGGGTTTACCTACATTTTTTAGTGTGTTTTTTAATAAAAGCAGGCTTCCTCTGTGTCCCCTGGGCTGCCTGTGCATGCTTTTAAAGTAGTATGATGTACTCAAGACTGTCACCCATTTCTAATGTGTCTCCCTACTAGACTGAGCTGATCTCTTGCACTAAGTTGAACTCCCAATTACTTCTGTTATGAGATGTATGAGCTTGGCATTATTTATTCAGCACAGCCTCTGTTTCTTTTCTTCATCTACAAAACTGTGATAATAATAGTATTCATCCCTTGTTGTAGGTGTTTTGGTGAAGATTAAATGAGGGTAGAGAGCTTAGCATGGTGTTTCTCATATAAAAGGAGTTCTAACAATTATTATTGTTATTATTGTTGTGATGCCAGTGACTAGCATGGTTGTTGACTCACATGAGATGCAAAAAGTTTTAAAAATTGAATTATTATACCTAAACCACAGTCCTGCTTATTCAGCTCTATGTTCATGCTGTGCTTTTACCTACAGGGCTAACTGTGGCTAGAGAATAACAACCGTGTTGACTGGTTTAACTTTAAATTCCTGACCATTAATCTCAAGTGGGCACTTAACACTGCCCAGTTATCATACTGTATTTCTCTAATCCGTCATCCTCTCACTCTCTAAGGTGAGTAGTTCATACTTTTCTGTCTAGCCTCGAACCTCCCCCATTCTCACTCTCAGCTAATAATCATGTGTCTATTTCAATGGGGGGGGGGGACAAAGATGTAATTAGAGGAGGTTGCTTCTTACCTACTTGTCTAGCAGCTGTGTAGTCTATATTCTCTTCTGTAACATGGGTGAACTGCTGTGTCCTTGGCTGAAACCATCCCCTCCACTGAAGCATATAACCCCTCCCCTCTTGTCCACTCAAGCACATTGCTCCAGCATTCTCCTCTCCTTCTGCATCTCTTTATACTGATCATTCCCCTTAGGGTTCAAATATTTTATTTTTTCTCCCACCATTAAAGATCTTATTTTGATCTTTTCTCATTCAGCCATACCCTCATTTCTTTCATTCCCTTTAGTGAGAAGCTCCCTGAAAGTTTACCATGTCAGCTCTCTCCAACTTCTCTCCTCCCATCTCTCTTGAACCCTTTCCAATCAGGTGCAACCCCTGCCACCCCACTATAGCTATTCTTGTCGTCACTGGTGCCTTATGCACTGCCAGTTCCGATGGTACGTTTTCATCTTATGTGACCTATCAGAAGCATTTGCAGAGTTCATCCTTCCAGGATGACACACATATCTGGTTTTTCATTTACCTCTAGTTGTTTCTCCTTTGCTGATTCTCTGACCTCTAACTGTTGGAGAACTTCCAGATTCAGACTATGTATTTCTTTTCTTCACTACCTACAGGACACTCTTTCATTCTTCCTACTCAGTGCTGAGAACCTTCTTACTCAATGTCAGCTTAACCTGGTTGAGTGTTAGAAATGCCCCACCCCAGATTGTTTAATCAGAATCTGCCTTCTAGCTAAAGCCCTAGATGACTTATTTGCATATTCATATTTATGATCACCCTAAATGATCCTATCCAATTTCATGGCTTTAAATGCCATTTATTTGCTGAGTCGATTCCCAAATTTATATTTCTAGCCAAGAATCTCCCATGAAATACAAACGCATTCATCCAACTACCTATCAACTTTTCCACATGGTTGTTTTATAGTTAGTCCCATCTTAACCTGTCCATAACTGAGCTCCTGATATTTCCACTAAACCTGCTTCTCCAGTATTCTTTCCTCTCATTAATAGCAACTCCATTCTTCCATTACTCGAGCCAAAACCCTTAGAGTCATTCTTGCCTCTTTCCCATATCTGGTCTGTCAACAATCAAGTCAGCTCTACATTTGCCATGTCATCAAAATTTAATCTTTCATATAACTCTGTTATCTTGGACCACCTCTGGTTCTATTCTTTCTTCTAGTACAATCTGAAAATGACAGACATAATAAATTTTGATAGATCATGACACTCCTCTGTTCAAAGCCTTCCAACATTTCCACTGTATTTAAGATAGGACCAACAAGACCCCACATGGCTTGTTTTCCACCCACCTCTGATTCTTTGGTTATTTCTCTCCTTTTTTAATGAACTCAAACCTCATTGCCTTTCTTGTTTCTGATACTCAGCAGGCATGTTCCTGCCTCGGGGCCTTTTTGTACTTTCTGTTCTCTCTGCCTGAATGCTCTTCCTCCAGATACCTGTGTGGCTCCCTCTACTTAAAAGTTACCTTCTCATTAGCCTTCCATGATCTTTCTATCTAAAATCTCAGCCTTAGCCCTTTCCCTTCACATCATACCCCCTTTCCTTTATTTATTAATTCATTTACTTATTAGCAAATCTAATATTCTCTCCTTTCTCTTTTTCTCTCTATTATCAGCGTTCTCCAGAGGAACAGATCCAATAGGAGATAGATGATAGATAGATAGATAGATAGATAGATAGATAGATAGATGATAGATAGAGATTTATTATGAGGGATTGGCTCACACAATGAGGCTGAGAAGTCTCTCCATCTGCCATCTGGAGACTAGAGGCCCTGGAAAGCAGGTGATGTAGGTCCAGTCCAAGCAGAAGACATGAGAACCAAGGGAATCAGTGGTGTAAGTCCCAGTCTGGATCTGAAATTCCCTAGAACCAGGAGCTACAATGTCTCAGAGCAGGAGAAGATGGATGACTCGGCTCAAGCAAAGAGAGAACAAATTTTCCCTTCCTCTGCCTTATTGTTCCATTCAGGCCCTCAAAAGACTGGATGATGCCAATCTGCATTGATGAGGGTGATCCCCTTTACTCAGTCTACACATTCAAATGCTAATCTCTTCCAGAAACATCTAGACAGTACCAGAAATAATGTTTTACCAGCTATCTGGGCATCAATCAAAGATTTGAGGGGCTCCTTCTGCTATTAAGCTTTCTCTCTCTCTATATATATATATATATCTACACTAATAAAAGAGAAACATGGTAATTAGCATACGACCGCTACCCTTTCCATTGGCTAATCAGCATATCCTTATGCAAATTAACTGTCAGCCAAGATGGCGGC